GGTCTCTTTCTCCCTCTTCTCAGTTTCTGTTTCCCTGTAAGACAGCCTTCCAAATCTCCAAATCTTTTTCTGAACCTTTTTCTGAATCAATTTGGATGCTTCGAATTGATTCAGAGGTTTTTATGGGTCTCCTGATTTGATTTGATTTGAATTTAATGATTCGGCCTTTGAATTGAGCCGAATCTTCTCTGAATTGAATCAGCAATTGAAGCTTTGCACACCCTTAGTAATTGCATCTGTCTTCAAATTTAGAATGCAAGTTAAAAAAGAAAGAAAAGAAAAAGAAATGAAGACCTGTGGCAATCTTAGTTTGGTGCAGTGTAGTAGACAGTGTTGTGCTTAAAACAGAATTAAGTGTCTGGAGACCTGGTAACATGTCTTTCATATACAACAACTTGCTGGTTGATTTTGATCAAGCCACTAAAGCTGTCGGTGCTTCAGCTTCCTTATCTTGTATAATGGGGATTGTGGAGATAGTTTCTTTAAAGTTTGTAGCAAGCTTAGGTTTTCAGTGGGCAAGGCTAAAGAAATGTTGATTATTGTCACAATGTTAAATCTTTCATTTTCTATTTATAGCATCCCACTCCTTCAGATGCAAGAACAGGAGGAAAGACTCAACTGATATCAAATCAATAACATCTCGAAGTAGTGATGGTAAGAAAATAGAACTCAAGAAAAATAAGGAAGTTCCCAGAGCAGTCCAAAGGAGTTGGTTTAAACAGGAACAAGATTGACAGCAGCAGAATCCTATACAGTTATTGCTGAAGAGATGTGTGAAAGGCCTTTGACTCCCCTTTCCTTTTTATATCACTTTCATTATCCCTTTAGTTTGAATTGGAATGTGCTGCTGCAAGCATAGACATCAGCGCTGCAATACAATACATCATCAGGAAGATCCTGCCCAGGAGCAGAATGTCACACAGCCAACCTTTGTACCCTCTCACTTCTGGTTCATCTTCACCAGTGTACAGATAGGGAGAATCTCCTTTATCCTACAGGAAGCACATGTTGCTCCTGGCTAGGATTATAGCACTTTTGTTGCATATCCCATCTGTAGGCAGTCCTTGTACTTCATTGTGAAAGGATAATTGTGCTTTCTGCTTTTTTGCAAATGTACACACAGTGCCATCTTTTTCAGGGATCTAAATGTTTGGTTGCAGGCAGGCAGATTGGTAGAAGGTCTATGGTGTAAAAGAGTGCAGAGAGAGTGAGGGATCAGAGACTGACTGAAAACAGGGGAGGTGGGTTGCAAGAAGACTGTCACAAATCAGAAGTGAAACAGGAATGAGAAACTTTTTGAAGGAAAGGGACAGACAGCAGGGAGCCACAGGAAAAAGGAGAGACAAAAAGCAGAGTCAAGCAAGAGACAAAAGTTCTAATGAGTAGGATTTCCTAATACAGAGGAAGACCTGCTCCCAGGAAGGCCATTTCAGGTGTGCAGGAGTAGTAGGGAAGGGCTACTCACTTGACTTAAGGCTAGAAAAATGAAGAAAAATGTAAAACAAACAGAAAGGCAGCCTTGCCTTAGGCACAAAACTGCTTTGACAGCAGTGATTCTTTCAAAGAAGAAGAGAAGAGGATTGCCAGTACTCCCTACCATTTAGATGCACCTTATAGAAAGCACCAGTAAATTCAACCGAGTCAACAGGAAGGGTGGTACCAATGATAGCCTACCGCTATTTCCTTATGAAAGCACTCCTGCACCAGTGACTCACAGGATTGTTATTTAAATACACACTCTATGCTGTGCAATGTCAGAATGTAAAGTGATAATTATTCTGAAGTCAAATTCTCTGTATTTTATTTAACCACAGCCCCAAGTTTACAAAATCGCCGATATTCATCAATGGCCAGAATCCACTCTATGACAATAGAAGCTCCTATCACAAAGGTAAGGTGGTTATTACTGCCTATTACTACAGAACACAAACTCTGAGTTTGGAGCTATCCATGCCAGAAAATATGGTTCGCCATTCTATTTACAACACAAGGTCTTTAGATATTGTATCTTAATTTTAATTGCTCTTTATAAAAAGAAGTCTCCTCTTTGGATCTCTTGAAAGAGAGAGAGAGAACACCTGGGATGTTACCTACAAAGCAGTTTTTTAGTGTTATTGGCACTTATGTACAGGTAGGCAGTCTGTAATTGTGCCTGCACACCATGTATGTGTATAGAAGTACTGGAACAAAAATGAAGAGAAGGAGGTCTGCCCCGTGTTTTAGCCCTGGTCACTGTATAGTTAGGGATTTTGCCCAGGAAGCTATAAATCCTGGTTCTAGGTCCCCTTTGCTGAGAGGGGATTTGAGCTTGCAGCTCTCTGACTTCCCAACACAGAGTGCTAACCACCCCTCCAGAAATCAGGTATAATCTAGTCCATTCTCTGGCACTCCTTTTGAACTTCAGCCTGCTGCCCCTTATATGCCTCAGTAGGATCAAGGTGCCAGGCTAGAGCTCAGCTGCTTCTTTCCAGGGCAACAGCAGCCATATAAACCATATACCCTCTGGCTTGCTCTCTTCCTCCTACTCCCACATATCTCCATCTCTGGGTGGCCCAAGGGGCCAGCTTCAAGAGTGCTAGAGAAGACTCTGCAAAATCCCTTGCCTCTGGTATTGTGGTTAGCACGCTCTGACAGGAAGGCAGAACTGTAGGCTTACACCCGCTCTGTATGAGGAGAGCCTAGAATATCCTCCTCCCTGTATCTAACACCTGGCAGTTGTGGGTTTGGGGCTGTCTATGTTTTCAGGCCATGAATACCAGCGTGCATCTGCAAGGGGCAGGGGCATGTAATCATGTATGTGTGCAGCCAGCAAGTAGCCTGCTGTGCATGCTCAAGCTGTACATGTAGTATGGCCACTTACTTACATGTCCATACTGCCAGGAAATAAAATTACTGCCTGTGTGCTTGTGCCAAAAATGGCTCTTAGATAGCTATAAAAACCAAATTGCTCCTTAAATGATCAAAGGGAAATAAAATTCCACCCCTGCCCCTCGATGTTCTCTTTTTCCTCTAAATTAAGAACCGTGTAGGAAATCAAGCTTTCTCACTACAAAATGAGTAATAACACAATCCACTGAGTATGACAACTTTGTACTAACATGAGAGAGAACCTGTTTTTTCACTCTTCCTCCCCCAGGTTATTAACATAATCAATGCTGCCCAGGAGAACAGCCCTGTCACTGTAGCAGAGGCCTTGGACAGAGTTCTGGAAATCTTACGGACAACAGAACTTTATTCCCCCCAGCTAGGTACCAAAGATGAAGATCCTCACACAAGTGATCTTGTTGGAGGTCTGATGACTGTGAGTAAAGAAAGAAAGATTGAAAATTAAACTGCCTCCACTCGCTGCACTAATGTAAGAGGAGCTCTGTGTCCATCTGACTGACAGAGAAATGACCAGCCCCAGTATCTGGACAATGGGAATGGTAACTGTCACTCAGTTTCACTTTAACTTTATATTTTACTCTTAACAAGAAAGTTCATCTGAATGGCATTAATAAGTACCAAGGTGGTAACCATTGCTGTTATTCAAACAGCTGGCTGGATACACTGATCCTCTTACAAGGGTGACATTACAGTTCCAAGAGAAACTACACACCTTGGTCACCTAATTTGTTGCCTCTCATTCCTCTAACAGTTTAGGAAGCATTGCCCTGATTGCTAAAATTAAACAGAAGATAATTAAATGTTACACCATATCCATTTAGTTACTAGATGAGAACTGTAAAACTGACTTCAGAAGAGTGCCTTGTTTCAGTCCTCTTGCAGTACCCAGACTGTCTTCCACACCAAACCTCGGCTGCATTTCTTAATGGAATCTCTCTCTTTTTTCCTTTTAGCCACTGCAAACCCTATAAACAAACACACTGGGTGTTTTGTGGAAATATATGAAGCAGTCAATGAGAAGGAATTAAAGGAGGGTAGTATCTAAAAATGTTACAGCTGGACTGTCCCTGAAATCTAGAAATACACACTTTAAAAACACATATGGTAGCTGAACACTTCTCAATTCAGGGGCAGGGGAGTTCGAACAACTAAAACCTAGGGGTACCCAAATCCACATCTGAACTGATACACTCAAAAAGAAGCAAGGTGCTTAAGGCACATTCTAAAATATGACGAGTGTTTTAGTTATCCAAGATTAATTCTTCTGAAAAACTGCAACATATTCTTAAAAATGGAAAATGAGGTATACATGTTGCATGGTTTCCCACATCTTATAGTGTCCTCCTTTATTTCAGGATGGCTTAAGAAGACTGTCAGGAAATGAGTATGTATTTTCTAAGAGTAAGTTTCTATGGTAAACTTTATTTTGCCTGTGCAGTGTTTCATTTATTGCTAACTTTGGCATAGAGCTCCAGGCTAATTTATAGTTTGATTTATTGCTTTTGGAAATGGTTGTCTAAATAATCTAAGAGCAAGTGTTAGAATGTCTCCATTCAGAGCTGAAACAGGTTCAAGCAATGAAAATAATGTATCTGAGCAATTTAGAAAATAAGACTGAAAAAGAATTAACTATATTATCCAGATAAATGACCATAAAATTTACTTGATTTGATCTGATTTTTCCTTTTGGTTTATGTTCAGACTGACTATAAAAAAGATGAATTTCTATAAAATGCTACAGTATCTGATTTTACCTAAATTATGCTTTGAGGCGTTAGTTTCTAATAAGGATCCTGCAAGTTGGAATAAAGTTGTAAAAACCATAATTGATTTCATTCCTGAATTTCCATTTTGACAGACATGAACCAGAGCCATAGTCACCTTTCAGTGCCAATTGCAATCAACGATGTTCCACCCTGTATTGCACAGTTGCTTGATAATGAAGAAAGCTGGGACTTCAACATTTTTGAATTGGAGGCTGTTACAAATAAAAGGCATGTCTGCTGTCTGTGTACCCTTAATGAAGCTGCTAAAAGAATGGGTTTCACTATTTATTTGCTATAGTTCTTTCAAAAAGCTTCTGAGAGTCCCTTCACTGATCTCTGTGTTGATACCTATCTGCTTTGCTAACCTGTTAAAAAAAATTCAGGCTGTCCATGCTTTACAGTTCAGAAACCTCACCCTAGCCATCTCTGAACATCCCCTTTGGAATTCTTTCTCCATCAATTTACTTTGACCCCTAGCTGTTCCTACTCCCTATCAAAATATGCATTCTCTCTGGAACAATCTACTGTCCGTACTTCCTGTATGTCCCACAGCATCCTTTTGTACCAGCCACTCCACAGAGCATCTGGGGTATATTTTGGATCTGGAGGCTGCACATAGTCATGCTAAAAATAGTAACCCCCTATTAAAGGAAGTTCTAGGACTATTGTGGCTCTGAATTAGTGATTTTAAAAAATAGATAGAAGGGATAAAGCAGCACTGGGCTCATCAGATAAATAGATCTTCTAGACCAGAAGGGACTATTAGATTTGGCTTCCTTTATGATACTGGCCATAGACTTTTGTCCAGGTAGTCCTGTATTGACTAAAGCAGAGATGTAGTACACACTGCAAGTGGTATGGGCAGCCTCTGTGTATGGCATGAGGGAGACCAGAGAGGGGAGAGGCAGCACAGCAGCAGATAGGCAGGGAATGGAAAGTAGAGCAGCCGATTGGGCAGGGAGCATAGGGCAGGAAGCAGAAAGCTGCACAGTATTTCAGGCAGAGGAAGGGGATCAAAGTAGCACTTAGGGAGGTGTGGGGCTAATTTGGCATGCCTATCAAAAAGTTTGAAAGAATATCTTCAGAAGAGGCATCCAGGCTGAGTTTTGAGACAATCAGTTCCCTTGGTATTTTTCCACAGGGGTTGATCACCTTCAACATTAAAAATGTGCTTTATTTTTTATTTGAATTTATCTGGCTTTAACTTCCAGCAATTGCTTCTTGACTAGATTTAACATCTATATAGATTGTTCAGCTGCTAAACAGTAGATGGGAATTCTGGCCCTTCCCTGAAAGTGGTCTTGTGCTCCTAAGACTGGCAATGCTTATACATGAAAAGTGTAAGTAGGACATAGGGAAGGAGTGACTTAAGACTCCAAGCTCCCTCAAGAAGTATAGATGAAATGGGGGTGTTATCAACTTGAACAGTCAAACATTCAAGTCATGGGGCATGTCCCTAGAAGTCAGAAAATCTATTAATTAATTAAACAATGTTTGATTATTTTTATTTGCCTTCAGTTTTTGAGCCTGTCAGATACACTTGGCTCATGTTTTCAGGAGTTTTTTTTCTTTCTCTTGGTTATTAGGTCATCAGAAGCTAGGGTTTTATAAAAACATACCAAAACTCAGGAGACCTGAACTAAAATCACAAAAGTCAATGTTCCAATAACTCTGTGGTGCTTTTCATAGGACATTACATTACTGCACTTACTTGAATATAAGACACCCCCCCACAATAATTAGATTCTATATATGGACAATTTATAAATTTGTTATAATTTTCCAGGTATAGAATCTAATTATTAGGGGGTTTGTCTTGAATTTACTCCCCTCCCACTATTACAGCAGGGCAAATAAATCTGGGGAGGGGGGTCATGTGGCCCCCTTGCCATCTGCACCCAACTCCTTTCCCCTGCAGCTTCCCTCCTCCACATTACTGTCCCTGAGCACATGGGAAGTCAGGGACAAATTTGAAAACAATGACTTTGAAATAAACATACCTATTTAAACAAAAGATTGCAGGTTGCCATAGGCTCAGTTCATCCAGAATAGATGCATTTGACCTTTTTTGAAACTGCAAGTTTTAGCACAGGTACTCCATAAGCACACTTTTAAGCAGCACTTTGGCACCTACTTATATATAATATAAACTGTGCATGATATTAGTCTATAGTCAGGAGGTTCATGATTTAGATTCAGTCAAAATTTGGAACTTAATTCAGAACTGATTTGGCCTTGGAAACAAAATTTTATTTTAAAAAATCTGTATTGCCACCCAGTATGGGCCAACTTCTGCTACAAAATGCCACCCTTCAGCTGAAAATAAAAATCCTTTTCAGCTGGTCGACACTTTCTCCACAATAAACTAGAGAAAGAAGCAGCTCCCTGTGTGAAGATGTGTAGACTAGCCACGTACAGTCTAAGAGTGTAGGTGTATCTAACCACCTATTTCCTATCCATCTATTTATCATTGGCGGATGCTGTCCTGCAGCAGATTCCCAGGTTAGGTTTAACCAACTCTCTCTCACTCCTTGAGTTTGCAGGCATGTTCAATGTTGGCTGCATTTAATCAACTTCATAGTTGGTTTCCATTACTGAGCACATGCTGCTTTGGGCAGCAATTTAATGATAAACAATGTATTTAATGAGGTTTCTTTGTATGCAAATGTAATACAAGGAGCTTTTTTTCCCATGCTGACTGGGGGGGGAAATCTTGTCTTATATTTGAGTCAATATGGTACATCTGAAAAGATGGTAGAAACTTTAGTAACTACCCTGGTTGGCCAGGGGTTTAAGAAATTATGAATATGTGTTGTTTTCACTTTTTTATTAAAACATATTAGAAGGAGCCATGAACAGATTTTTTAGACAGGGAGATGTTTAGAAAATTGTAAATTCTGTGCATGTCTGTATCTCTTGAATTTGCTTTATTTTCACTGATATTGGTTTCCTCACTTATTTTCCAGGCCATTAGTTTATCTAGGTTTAAAAGTTTTTACCCGGTTTGGGGTCTCTGAATTTTTAAACTGTTCAGAAGCAACAGTACGAGCCTGGTTCCAGGTGATTGAAGCCAACTACCACTCCTCCAATGCATACCATAACTCCACACATGCAGCAGACGTTTTACATGCTACAGCATTCTTCCTTGGAAAGGAAAGAGTTAAGGTACAATATTCCCTGAACGGTCTTTAGTTTGACACCTGTTTAAATACATTTTAAGCAGGCTATTAGCTATTAATAGTTGCAGCCATAACGGTTTTATTTTACAAGTAAGCCACTTGAAAGTTGGGTGTTAAAGCAACTTAAATAATGTTCCCTACCTCTGATCCCTGACCCCACCATGTCTGCAAGTCCCACTGGTGCAAGCAGTTTCATCCAAAGCCATGGGGTTATTCATATGAGTAATGAAATTACATGAGGAAGGATCAGACCCCCTAAATAGCAGCAACAGAAAAACCCTCCAAACCTTTTATAAGTGTATTAATGATTTTCCTGAAGCAAATCTAGAAATAAAGAGGCAGCAATTAAGAAAATCATCTGGGTTTATTACAGGTAAGAATACCAAGCAGTAGAACAACTGCTGATGGTATGAAGCATTATCTTTCCAACAAGGATTTTGTGATGAATAGAATAGCTTTAGTTACCATGATCCTGTCTATTTCCTTCCTTTAAAATGTTTCTTTAGTCAGAGGAATTAAAAAGAATCAATTACAAAACAATTTTTGTTTACTCTTTGAAAAAATGGGATCTACACCAATTTTTCTAGCGAAGGGAGAAAGTCAATATGGGGCTTTTTTCTGTTTCCTTACTCCAAAACACATTTTATTCACCTGTCAAAATAAGCTGAAAGAAATACTGAAATTATTTTTTAATGGAAATTCCACATCTCAGTTTATTACTTATAGCAGAAATATCTGATTAATTCCTCAACAGATATTTAAGATTATTACTACTGTCATTCTTGGTAGAACTGTATGTGCATGTGGATACGTATTGTATGTGCACACAATTCCTTGCCAGACACAAAGCAGAACTCCCTTGGAAGGAGCTTAGAGTCTCATTTCAGGCTGGTATGCTATATAGAACAACATCTAAAGCAAAAACTGTACAAAAGAGATGGCTTGGGTGTAAGAAAGCTTCATGGAAGCAATGGATAGGTGGAAACAGCAGATGCTCTTGACATTCAGTAAGTGGGAAACTTACAAAAAGACAAAGGCCATGCCCCAAGGAGCTTATACATACTTGGTAATTATGCTAAAGATGATCAGTTTTTATTGTGGCTCATTATGTGATAAATAATTATCCTTTTACTCATTCTTATAGGGAAGCCTGGACCATTTAGACGAGGTGGCTGCACTAATAGCTGCCACCATTCATGATGTAGATCACCCAGGACGGACTAACTCATTCCTCTGCAATGCAGGCAGTGAATTAGCTGTACTTTATAATGACACTGCTGTATTGGAAAGTCACCACACAGCATTGGCATTCCAGCTCACGGCTAAAGACAACAAGTGCAACATTTTCAAGAATATTGATAGGTTGGTCTGCTTGTGGCATATGTTATTTTATTTGGGGCATTTTTTTAAAGCTTTAGGTAGATTGAGAACTACCTTCAGACACTAAAGATGCCACTTTAATAAAACCCTTTTCATCATTAAGGTATCCTAGGACTTTAATACAAACTTTTTTTTTTTATGTTTTAATTTTATGCCTCATGTTAGTCTTCCAGGCCTTGTAATGTTTGGAAATGTATTGCGGGGTATGTTACTGTTTAAAATAAAACAAATCAACTCCCAGATAATGGGAGGTGTAACAGAAATACACTGCTAGGATCCCTGGTGTGCAGAATTCCATGAATTGATCACATTGGTGTGGGGAGGCGTATGCAGTAAACCTAAATTTAATTATTTTAAGATTTTTTTCTGTGAGTGCCCTGGTGACTTCCTATTCCCACTTAATTCAGTTTAAGACTGGTATTTTAAGAGTAACTTGTAGTGTTTATTGATTTGTATTTTATTACATAAAACATCCATAAACCACTAAAACACCTGAGCATAATAAGGATGCAACCACAGTTACTGTTACTTTCCAGTTAACCCATTTTATGTTTAATGTCTGTCTCAACTTCCCTTTTATAAACTTGGTGAGAAGGTCCAGAGAAAGCCAGAATTAACTCTGACTATCACCTGATGAGTAAACAGTTTTTTCTCTTTTAGGAACCATTATCGGACATTGCGACAAGCTGTTATTGACATGGTTTTGGCAACGGAGATGACAAAGCACTTTGAGCATGTGAACAAATTTGTGAATAGCATCAATAAGTCCATGGCATCCGAGGAAACTAATTCAAATGTAAGGTGACCCAGCTGGAAGCTTCTAAGGGACTTTTTCCATTTATACCTCAAGAAAACTTAAAGTGTTATTTTCATTTATGGTCATTTTGAAACACCACAAATAGACTTGAGAACAAATACTGCCTATTGGTGTAGTATAGATGTTTGAGAGAACATGGTGCTTGACCCTGCCCCCCAAAAGCTTAAAATAGCTTACAGTATAAGTTACCTGTCAGCAACTGTTTTACAGCAGTGGGCCAGAATGACCCACTAGGAGCCATGTGGGACAATGCAAGGACCCAACCACTGCCACTTCTCTCTGCCAGCCCTGGTGCAGCATGGACAAAGCTCTGGCCGCAGTATGGTGCAGCATGGGCAAACCCATTTGTCCATGGCATGGCGCAGCACAGGAAAGCCTGCACAGTGCAAACGAAGCCCCTCCCCATCACCAAACATTGCTGAATCCCCGTGTCTACAGCAGGGGTGGGCAAAATATGGCCCATAGGCTGGATCACCAAAAAACTATTGTATTCCAAATTTCTGTATGAGCCATCAGGCTCATGTCCAGTTTCCACATTTACAGTGTAAGACACTGTTTGACAATTTTGCTCTAAGTATCTTACACTGAAACTAGTTTTTGGAGCCTTTGAGCAACACTATGACCTTTTCTATTTAGCATCATTCTATTTTTTTGCCACAAAAGATGCCAGTCATCTGGCCAGAGGCTTCCCCAGCACAGCTCATAACTCCAGTGAGAAATTCCTGAACCAGAGGCCTGCTGTCTTCACACGTTCTTCTTGTTACTCCTGTTATTTGTCCCCATACTCCAAAATCCAACACAGCCAGTTTCTTGGTAATCCCTTGAAGATAATCAGTCAAGCCCTGATCTTTGAATTGAAGTCTGGTGCCTCTTGCCCACATTGTCTCATCTCAAGGTCAAGTACTGGTTTTGTGCCCCAAGAATTAACTGCCACCAACTTCCTCATAATTTTGTTACCCACTCAAAAATAATCTGCTTATACCACTGCTTAAAGGAAACAAAGTTAATTGAGGAAATAAATGAGAAAAGCATATAATAGGCAGTTTCTCATGCTTTTTCTCTATTTGCATATGGGTACGTTCATGGTTCATCCCTGGTATCAAATGGCTCCTTTTGCTTTTGGTTTGCCATTTACACTTTTCTGGCCCCCAAAAGTGGCAGCTCTGAGATTGCATTAATGCAGGGGTTGTCAACTGGGGTTACTTGAGAAGTTCCTACAGGGTACTAGGATGGCTGGATGCGAGGGGCAGGGGAAGTCCAGCTGGATGCGAGGGGCGGGGGGAGCTTACAGATGGTGGCTACTGCCACTCCACGTCCAGCCACATGCCAACTCCCTTCCTCCCCCATTTCTGCCCTTGCTCCGTGTCCAGTCTAGCTGCCAGGGGTACACTGCTCCATGTCTGGCTGCCAGGGGTACACTGATCCAATGTATTTACTATGGATTCCATCCCAAATAACCCATTGTGTTTTCTAAATGTATTAATGTTTATATGCATCTTTGCCTTCATGAATAAACAAGCAATTGCCCTTCTGTAGTCTGGTTTTAATTTCAAACCTCCTTTGTTACTTATATATAGTTACTAACCTTTCCTACCCAGAATGGGTTTCTCCTTTTGAAAGTTGACTCTTGTGTAGAGAGATCTAGTTTAATATTTAGGCAGAAAGCCAAACTCTACTTCATAATCTTAAAAATCCCCATCTGTTTAGTAACACGAATAGATATCAAACATGATTTTTCTCTGTAGAAACTATCTGACCTGCAGTAAAGACCTTTCCCTGACTGCAGGAATGTAGCTGGGAAAAACAACAGATCTTTATTTTAATAATATTAGCCATCTTACTCCTTGTTACCCTTCACTAGAATCATGCTCCCTGTGTTTTGTCACATTTGCCAGGGGGGCTAGAAGCCCTTAGAATCTGCAAACCCAAGAAGAGAGAGACAAGTGGTTAAAAGTAACCTGGGAATCTGCTGCAGGATAATACTCGTGGATCCAGTAATAGGTGGATAGGAAGTAGATGGTTAGACACACTTACACTCTTAGACTGTACATGGCTGGTCTATATATCTTCAAAAACAGAGCTGCTTCTTCCTCTAGTTTATCATGGAGATAGTAGCAACCAACTGAACAGGATTTTTATTTTCAGCTGAAGTATGTCATTTTCTAGCGGAAATAGGAAGATTGAATGGAATTTAATAGGTTCAGGATTAAAATACTTTGCTTGCCTTCTTCAGAAACGGTTTAAGCAACACTAATCTTTAGAGCTGTAGCACTAATACAAATGGCTCAGTATGGCATTATGTAGTGGAGCCACCTCCCCACTTGCAGAAAGTAATTACCCAGTTTGCATGGCTTTATTGAATCCAAACCATACGTCCAAATTTAGATTTTCAGTTTTTCAGCTTGCTGGCTTGGGTCACTGTTGTTGCTGGAATCATTCTGAAAAGTCTTTCCAAAGTAGGTCGCACATGAGAAATCTGTAAAGTGTAATAGATTATACCCCCTCCTCCCCACTCCCCCTCCTTCTGCCACCTTCCCCCTGGTCACTTCTTTTAGGGCTTTATGTTTTTCCAATAACTGACTTGGCGTAGGGAAGATCCAGAAATGTCTGAAGGATTTTAGGTGTACAGGTCCCATTCAATGGTACCTAAATCCCTGATTTGTTTTTGATAGACTCCCTTTAATCACATTAACCTCTGGCATTTGCTGATGTACATGTAAATGCTTCCTATATATTCTACTACAATCAGCATTTTTAAGCTATAAAAAGCATTTGCTCTGATTCACTCTCTTTTATCTTGCCCATTTGTAGCGGAGACTATTGTATAAAGGGAAAAAGGCTTGAAGAGTAATAAAACTGCAATGCAAAAAGAGTGATAGTATAGAGTGAGCTTTTCCTGGCTGCAGTTTGTCCTATTCCTTATTGTTAACACTGCTTTTTCCTACTTTTGATTATGGGCAGCAGTTAGGAGGCAGGTCTAATTGGGCAGTTCTTTGCTGGACTACCCATGCTGAGAAGAATTAACTGTTAAACATAAAGTTGGAAGATTAATGCCCCCATTGGTAAGAGTCACTGCAAAAATATCTCCTCATAAACCACAAAGACATTAATTCGGCACTGGTGGTAAAAAGTATTTATGTTCAATTTTTGACTCAGATTTGAATTTAGCAGCAGAAAGGAGGACAAAATTACACAAATATATTATTTTGCGAGTAGCATTAATGCCAGAGTGAGCTGAGGTGTCCACCTTTTATTACTCAATAAGGAATATAGTATACCTGTGCCCTTCTAAGCTGCAAAAGGGCCAAAAGATGGCTTCATAGCAGATGTGTCACAAATGCTCCATCTCTTCTATGCACTTCCCCAGAGCAGTTCAACAGTTCATTGCCTTGCAAGTAGAAAGCTACTGCAAATTACCCCCTCTTTTCTTATATTTCCCTACTGGTGACTTTTTGAGCTGTCTGAAATGTAGCTATGCCATAGTGGTTCCAGCTCTGTAGCTTAAAATCCAGCCCAAAGCCCAGGCATGGGGAGTTAGCATCTGTGTCAAAAGATAAAAATGTCATGTACCTGCAGGAGATCTTCTCTCTGCTGGTCTGCTCTTCAAAGGCCTCAGGCATATTTTCTTTTTTCTGCCTTTTTTTCCTAAATATAAACTAAAGTTTCTAGACCTCAGCTTACCCCCCCACCCCTTCCTTTTTTTTAAGCTCTTTTTTGTGATCTGGAAAAGGGAAGCACATGTAGCAATCTAAATGCTGCTGTTTCACCCCCAAAATACTGATTCAAATCTAGGTCACTCATGGTTTTACAGTGATATTTCTGCAATGAGACTGATAGTCCAGTGGGCACTGTCCACATCAGAAGCCACCAGCACAACTCTTTCCTGAGTTCATGAGGAGTAAAAGTTTGAGACTATTGTATTGCTGACTTCACTGCTAATTCTGAAAATTACCCAAACCGTACTGGAGGTAATGGTGATGTAATTACAACTGCCTAATAAGTTGCTGCACATAGAAGGAACTTTATTTTCTCTCCCTATTCTGCTTAACCTGTTTTTTTACCCAGAATATTGTGCATCTAAGTAAACAGGATGTACTCTGAGAAGTGCATTAGAAAGGAATTAAATAGTAATGTATTTATACTTGTTATTGCTGATGGTGACCACGAAACCTTGACGGATTCTCTATTACAGAGCGAAGGCAGCGATTGTGATTGTACAGCCAACGTAAAGAATTTTCCAGATAACCAAACACTGATCAAGCGCATGATGATTAAGTGTGCAGATGTAGCAAATCCATGTCGTCCTCTAGAACTCTGCATTGAATGGGCTGGGAGAATTTCGGAGGAATATTTTACACAGGTATGAATTTTGTATTATTTGAGTGAATGATTGTCACATCACATACAAGCGCATGGATACCAGCTGCTGTTTTATGATATTCTGGCTGGAGTAGATCTTTAGTTTAAAGATAAGGGTTTACTTTACTTTCACAGCTGGTCTTACTCTCGCAAGTACTCATTTCATGCAAAAGAGAAACAGGCTGACACCTTCCACTACTGCTAACATGCTGCCTGTGGGGCTAATTTTGTTTGTGGTGTGAAACTGTGGACAGTATTTGTATGCTTCGTTTTGTTTTGTTTTACTTTCCCAGGCTGCCTAAGACTATTGTTGGTCTCTGCAGTCACAGTCAGTTACACTCTAGTACTGGAGAGTTCCGTTTTTCAAATGAGATGCAAGTCAACTAGGTATGATAGAGGTCCTCTGGTAGCCTCAAAAAGAATAGGGGTGGGAGCCCAGGTTTTCCTTCCTAAGTTTCACTTCAGATAATGGCATTTAACCTACCCCGAACATTTTGTGTGGGTTCCTGAGAAGCATGAAGAGTTTATTTTCTTGTTTTTTCTTTGCTTAGGGGCATCCTACAACCCTCTGAGGCTTTGGTTCAGTGCCAGTAGGTATCTGCCTTCCACCCTCACAAACAGAGCCATGCCACAAGGCCCTACTACCCTGGATTTCACCACTGACATGAGCTATCTTCCTTCCTTCTTGGTTGGCAGGTTGCAGTTGCTAGATGTGTAGGAAGGGGTGGTTCCCCTTTCTTCCACACAGCCTTACCCAGACCTGTTTAATCTCCAGGTCTCAGGGCATGCCCTTCCCGTGAGGGCCTAATTTGAGCTTCAGATGGGCACACGAGGTATATTTGCTTGAGGGAGACTCACAACTTCAACAGCTACTCCCAACACCTCTCAACCCATACAGGTGACAAATAAGTCCCTTGTTGTAGGACAGCATAAGCTTCAGCCCTGGCACCATCCCCCAGACCCAAGACTTCTCGGTTTCAAAGGATTTCTGCAGAGGCTTGAAGAGACCCAGATTATATGCCGGTGCCACCTTGCACTGAGACTCATAGTTTGGAGCATAAGGGACATAGCACCCAGCACAGAGCCATTCAAGGGTTATGCTTCTTTAATATCCCAGTTAGCCAGAAGGCCATGGGCATTACAATATTTATTTACAATGATGGAACCACATAATGAACAGATGTCTCCATCACCCTGATGTGCAGTGGCATTTCCTTGGTCCTGTCCAAGAAGCTAACAACTGGTATGACTTACTTGTGTGGACTTCCTGGCACCAAAATGTCCTCTGGTACCAGACCCCATCATAAAGGCTCCAAAAGCCCCACCTTCAGTCCTGGCCCCGGTGTAGCTCTGATCCTCAGCACTGAGTTTTCTTCGCTTCTGAATGTCACTTTCTGAATGCCAGTCAAGGTCTTCCACAAGCACCAGATGGCCAATACTTTCAGTGCTCTCCAGAGGCTAACCCAGAGAGCAGTACCATGTAGACAAGCCAACAGGTTCTTTCTTGTGCCTTGGGCACTGCCCTACAAGATATTTAACAATGTCAGTCTAGCTGATTTGGCTGTGGAGTTTTTGGCAACTCCCCCAGTGCAGAGGCTCCACTGAGATCAAGGACATCTACTGATGGCCAAGACAACCCTACCAGCTGTCCTGGATGCAGCCAACACGGCAGTGAGGTTCATGGCATTGGCAGTGGTCCTGTGCCAGTCATTGTGACTGCAGGGATCTGGCTTTCCCCAGGAAGTCCAAGCTAGAGCAGAGACCTCCCATTTGAAGGTATGGAGCTTTGTAGCATCAGGACTGATGAAACCCTGCATCCACTGAATCAAAGGCTTCTGTTTAATCCTTGAAAGTATTTTCCCTTCATATAAATACAGATTCAAATACCAACCCTGTGCAGTGTAAGAGAGGCTCTTGCTTGCTACTGCTGGTCTATGATTCATCAATGCAGTCTGTATCTCAAGCAAAGGGACAGCAAAGATTTCACAGATAGAACCATCCTGATTCAGAACAGCTACCCCTAAACCAAACTTACTGGTACACTCAGAAGATAATGTGCTGACCCTCCATCCTTCCAAAACCACTTGGCTCAATTTTATAATATATGGGCCAGCAACATCTCAGAATGGTTTCCTGGATGTGGTGAGATAAGTTATCCTATCCAGTTTTACAAGGGTAGATTTGATTTAAATGAAATAGATTTAAATCATGGTTTAAATCACAATTTAAATCACTGGTCAGGAAGTCTCAATTTAATCATTGTTTTCGACAAAAAGTGCATTCTTATTGTTTTACATAATCTACATTAAAATATTCCCAAACAGGGTCTCTTTTATGGCCTGGCAAGCCTGCTACCATGGTAGGTTTTCCCTTCTACCATACCATTCTCTCACTGGATCTCATATCAATGGAGCGGCTATACACATGGTAGCCACCACGTGCAATTCGCTGGCACGGTAGTTGCAGCCTTCCAGAAATTGGCCGAAGACCCGCCCACTTTTCCTCAATGTGGCTCTGGAGCACAGTGCAGCCCAACACCTCCCACCACTCTGCTTTTCCCTGTGGGGAGCGTGTCCCAAGTCCACTCTCATCCCTCCTTCTCTTCCTCCAGGACTGCTGGCTCAGGTGCTGGGCTGCTGGGGCAAGGGCTGCAGCTGCGCTGCTTACCCTGGGGTACACTCCCTGCAGGGGAAGCTGGAGCGGCTTGGCAGTGGAAGGGCAAGGTGGTCACCTCCACTCCAGGTTGCTCAGCCCACCCCCCTTCTGGCCCCCTGCTTTCCAGCTCTTGAACTTGGGTGGAGGATTGGATGTGGCTCCCAGGGTGAGTAACTCTGGCCACCCCTGGGCTACATTCAGAAACTTATCCCTCAAGACTTCTGAAATATTCTGCTCAAAATGTTTCCCTTTTGTTTCTACTGCCCATTCCTCCATACATTTATCTCCAGACTCCTCCTTTCCCAGATATACTCCACCCCCAACAATTCTCTATTCATTTACCTTCTTGAAACTTTGCACACAGTACCACTTCCAAGCACTTAAAAGAGCATGTCCTACAGGTTGAGATGCCCAAAGGCTCCAATAAGAATCTGCCCATCAATCCTACAGCATATGGCCTTTTGTGCCTTTCTAATACCACATACTAGACATCACCTTCAGGTCTTGCAGGACTATCTGCCTAGAAAGAGACTGATCTGTAGTATTCAAGCTGGTACACTCTTTCCTTACATGATAGAATGATTGCAAGCATCACTTGCATATGGCATTCATACCTTCCCCCTCCCAGCTTCTTAACATAACATGTCTTACTGAACGTGCTTGGAAGACTTGAGGTACAGGGTCTCTATATCAGTGTGGTATAGAAATCTTAAATGGCCTTAACTGCATTTAAGGGTGTCAGTTCTAGAACAAGACAGCCACCTCCACCACAATGTTTTCTCAGTAGCAGGCCAATCTTTTTAGCAGGCATGCCACAAATTAGGTCCACACTCTCCTCAAGTGCCACTTTGATCCCCTTCATCTGCCCAATCTGCTGCTCTGCTTCTGCTCTCTGCCCTGTATTCCTTGCCTGATCTGCTGCCTGTCCTCTCCCCGATTTGCCTGTGCCACTGGTGGCATCCATGCTACTGGGCCTCCCTTGTTTTATGTCAACACACAAGGAGGTGCCAAATCTCTCAGCCTGTGCCAAGAGGCAGTAAACCTATAGCAAGGGTAGCTAGACCACCAGATATTCCTGACAGTGGTCTCCAGAACATGGTGGCTGACCTAAACAGTGATCTCTGCACATCTCACGGGATGAGAGCCATGAGGTCGGTGTCCAAGGTCACATTTGTGGAATTTCAGTGTATAGCATTTGACAAAGTAGGCTATTGTCTATGGAAGTCTATGCCTTTTTTTATGAGTTAGTGCCATCTGGCATTCTGCCATCCAGGAACTGTTAATGTCTTCCTCTCCATCTGCGTTTGAGAGCAAACTGAGGAGTAGAAAGTACATACTGCCCTTAACATCCTTGATGTGGCACAAGGAAGCAACAGAGTTCACTTTACAGATACTGCTAAGGTAAAAAAAAAAAGTCTTTGGAGTCATCTGACCACAGAACTCTTTGCAAATGAGGTGAAAAGGTAATAACCTTTCCTTTTTGTTCCAGGGGAAAGCTCTTCCTAGGTTTCCTTCTAGTTGTATTTATTATTCAGTGATCACAGAACTTCCTCCATATGTCCCTGCCACTCTTCTAATTCTAAACGTTCTCTACAAAGTGATCTAGGACATAGGATCCTTATAATACTCATAGCCCCCATGTGACTGAGATAGTTTTGGTATCAAGATTATCCTGGTTGTGATTCACTGGACTAGACAATCAGGATTGCCTGGAGGAGCCTAAGCTAGGTCAACCTCATTCTTTGTATAGGAAATGCATGCACCTTTCCTGCATGATCTGGATCACCCTCTAAGGGCAAGGTGTCTGAATGCCCAAGTGGAGACACAAGATCTATTTGGATCTGGCCCAGCTATCTTTCCTTGGCACTTCCTACCTGACCTTTTTGTTACCACTGGCTCAGCTTGCTGGTAATTGAAATTCATATTGCTTCAATTAGTGGTTCTTAACTGTTTTTTTAGCATTAAAGCACTCCTTTGGACATGCCCCCTCTTAGTTTTGAGTCATACAATGACTACAGAAAAATAATAGAGCAATTCTGTTGCAAAGAATTCAGAAAAACCACAGCAGGTCAGAATGTTTTTAACACTAAGGATTCCTATTTGAATATTATCGGTTTATCTTGTAAATCACAATTGCACACCTTAAAGTGTACTTGGCACCAGCATTGCTTGGCACCCTGCAGCACCCTTGAAAGGGTCTCAAGGCACCCCAGACTACTGCAGTGCCTGGATTGAGAATTACTGGCTTGGATTCTAGCTCTCCATGTACATCAGAGAAGGGAACCAAGGCACCTTGCTTGAGGTTGTGAATTCCACTGGGTGGCAGTGTATTTAAGAGTTTGGGCACTGAGATGATATCGCATCCAAGTCCTTTTGACTCAGACTCTGTAACAGACTCTTAAAAACGGACTTGCATGCACATCAAAATAAAAATATCTTTTTACAGCTTAATTAGTAATTTGTAAGTGTAGTATTAGGAGCCAAATGTGCCTAGACAGCTTTAGGGACATCTCTGGTTTGCCTTTTGATCAGAAGAACTTCAAAGGCAGAGGGGACAAGTTGTGATGCAAAAAATATGGTTACATTTTGTATTCTACCCCCTCTTTGCATCATGGGGACATGGTCCCTGACCAGAATTGTGGAACTGGGCATCGTGGAAGGTTAATGCAGTAATTGTGATGGGTCCACAAAATGGAACCATCAGTTTGTAGGTTTATAGCAAATTATATTGTAATGAGCAATAGCCACACAGTGGGCTTGTTTCTCTCGCTCTTTTTTTTTTTTTTTTTTTTTTTTTTTAAAA